GAGGAACTGTATTAAAGGGTCTCGGCATTAGGAAGGTTGAGGACCACTGCTCTAGGGGTGTTAAATATTAATCATATGTCTTGTGTTAGGATTAAAATTATTGCTATCTGCAGTCCCTACCAGTGGAACTAAAATTTGTTCCCTCAGAGTTGACCCCGCTGTGGACATGGCGGAGATCTACTCTGTCACCATCATACCCCAGAGAGTGGACATGAGCCCCGCTACTGCCTGGGCATGTACATGTTGTGTACGTGTACCTGCTTCCCAAGCCCCTCAACATGCACCTGTTAGTCCACTGTCCTACAGAGACTTGCTTAGGACATCCGTGTGGATGTGATACTATGAAGATCAATTTGTCCTTGTCCCTAGAGCGTTTGTATTTTCCGTGAACTTCAAACCAAAGATTAAACCATTGTCTCGCCATCTTGTCCAGTTTTTCCATTAAATATACGTCACAAGTCACACATTTCAACAAACAAAGGTCGTCTTCAATGTTTGCATTAACCACAGTCCAATAACCAAGCGTGACTAGAGGACTATCTGGTCGATCGTAAAATAATCTACACCTAGTGTGTCTCGCCTCAAGATCGTCGAAAACCACGTGTGTCGCCGTGGACATAAAAACCTCACCCCACACATTGCTGGGTGTGTCCAAGTGTTGACACTTGTGACATTGGCAGGCTCTCACGAAGTCTTCCTCGCTGTATATGTCAACATAGTGGACCAACCCAGTACCTAGCCTCATGACGTCACTTCCTCTTATGTTATGAAAGGCATATGGTTGATTGGTGTTCGGCCAAAACTCTGGTCTTTCAGGACTTGTCATTCGAATATCTACCCTGACAGTCAGGCCAGCTATAGCTTTAATCATCTCAACTATCATGATATCATGGTGACCTTCAGGCAGGTGATTGGTGTTAAAATCGTGGACAGGTAAAAACTTTGTGTGACCTGGATTCTTCTTACAGCCAACAAGATGTTTGTGTAGATCTGCTTCTCCTCCTTCTGTTACCTGCGTTTCATGGGTACCTGACAAGGTCATAAAGGAAAGCGCATTTTAATTGTTAAGTCTTATTTTCTTGGATATTTTACTAAGATAGAGAATCTATTATCGCTACAGATAATCTACTCTCTATCAATACATTTAATCATTTGAAGGTAACATTCTTATTATCTTGGATCCCCAATCTTTTCTTTCATCTGCACCACTTCATTTCATTTCTAAGTCTCGCACCCCTTAAGAAAAAACAATATTCTGGTTTTGGGGCGTGCAGGTGTTGGTGTTCGGCTATGACAGAAATAAAGCAATTGTTGTGCTGCTATGACAGAAATAAAGCTATTGTTGTGCTGCTATGATAGAAATAAAGCTATTGTTGTGCTGCTATGATAGAAATAAAGCTATTGTTGTGCTGCTAAGATAGAAATAAAGCAATTGTTGTGATGCTATGATACAAATAAAGCTATTGTTTTGCTGCTATGATAGAAATAAAGCTATTGTTTTGCTGCTATGCAGGGACGTCATTTCAGTATTTTTCAGTTGGGAAAAGGGGGGGGGGGCAAAACGTGGTCGGCTTGTTCAGTTGTTTATTACTGGAGGTGCCAGAGTACATAGCAATTTAAATAAAAACTTGCAAATTCAGGGGGGGGGGGAATGCCCCACCCTGTCCTACCCAAATGACGTCCCTGCTGATATGTATGAGAAAGAAAGAATATGTTCAATTATGTTCACTAAATTTTTACCGTATTTCAGTGTTACTAAATTTATGGATACCAACTTGCTTAATATAAATTGAAATATGTATAATATTAATAAAATAACATATGCAATTGAAACGTTGCTTAATAAGGATTTATCCTATAACTCCATACCCCTTTAGGACGCTTCTTATCTGATACGCAAACCTTCAGACCTTTGAAGACCCTTATAATCCCTTTCCCACCTCTCCATACCTACTTAAATATAATCTCTCACCCTTTAGTTCAGATACCCTGTCTTATCGAATTGTTTGACTAAAAATATGTTAAAGAATGTTAAAATGATTCAGATAACAATCTAAAGATATACATTTACATGTCATGTGTGATATATTGGATGCTGTATAGCATATATCAGTAGGAATTGTATTTCTTGCAGACATAATATCAGAGCAATGTATAACAATACACAAATAGGCCTACCATAGAAAAGACTTGATTCGTCGTTTTCCTTACTACAATCAATGCCATCTTCGTTGTCACTGTCATCTGTCTTGGCATCTGCTTGATTGTCAGGCGCCATCAAGTGATGGGTCTGTAATATATTGAATCAACACCAAATATTGTCTTATACGGTTGTGAGGATTATTTTCGCTATATGCTCTGTCACTCACTATACAATTTTCACTTTGTAAAATGTCTGGCCTACTGAGTTAAAAATTAATAAGCCTTTGTTGCGTTTTATAATGCATAAAGAAATAAAAAGCGACAACTTAAACCAAACGCCACTGATGGATTTTCATGTGCACTGCCAGCAAGATAATCTTTTAGTAGAAAAATGGGTTTTTATTTTTTGGGGGGGTCTTTTGTCACAACCTAAAACTATTAGAAAACAACAAAAGCACCGCACTTCTATTGCATACATTATTAAGCAGGCCTAGGGGCTATACATCCACGTCGTCACGCGTGTGGGTTGGGTGGGTGTGTGCGGGATGGGGGGCAGACTCGGGCAGAGGGGATGGATGGTCAAGAATTTATGATGATCATCCACATGAGATAAAAGTGTCCATTTCGTGTTACAAATTTGTGACGATTTTTTGGTCGATTGGGGGAGGGTGGGGTAGCCAAAATTCTTTGTTGTTATTAATTTATGGATGGCCGCGAACCAGGTTTAAGTGTCATTTATCTGAGAAATTTGTACAAATTCGTTATATTAAAATACATAAACTGTCTGTTTCTAGTTACCTATACTATATATCGATAATATGTGGCTGGTTACAAAAATTAAGCATACGCCTACGAGTAAAACACGTCTTGGGGGAAAATCAATATGGCTACAGTATTACAGCTGTTACTGTTACAGGCAATGTATAATGTAATCCAGGCACTATACTGGAATTCACATTTCCTGCACATAGGGGCCAACAACATACTAATAGTACTGTGCTTTTACACTCTATTTAAAACCAAAAATAAGTTGACATAGCTTCTAAGAGACAAGAATTGTGAGATATAGGCCTATTATAATCTTAATGTAACTGGTAACTGACCATTGTTTAAATATTGCTTTGTCTGTCGTATGAACCCTGTGATTTGATTATTGATAGTTTGATAGTAACAGTATTAAACAGAATCATCCTTCGATTCTTCAGATTGATTTTGAATCCCAATAAATGAATAATGGAAGAGTGGAGAGTCATAGGTGAAATGGATGGGTCATTCTAATAACTAGATCCATCAGTCTAAACTAAGGCTAAGTCAAATTTTTCCTGCTCATTAATACTTTACAACTTACAACTAGTTGTAAAATTTTAATAGTAATAGTCACTTAATAGTGTATAGTAGCCTATAGTTAACTTGCGCGAGGGTGTGATGAAGAAGTGGTCTGTGGAAAAGTGGGGTGGGTGGGTAAATAGTAGGCCTAGTCCTATTTCAATAGTAATGAAAAAAGTAGGTCATTTTTCAGGAAATTCTCACCTTGAGAAGATGTCATGGCATTACAGTAGGTCCATATTCATATCATATTCTCTGTAATGAAACGTCACTTAAAATAACTAATACCGGGAATTCCAAACAATAATATTTAAATTAAAAAAATCATTGCTAAAAATAGTAAACGGAAATAACTGTTCAAGATTCTCGGGTAGAGAAATGGATCGAAAATAATTAAGAAGTTGGGGTTCGATTGTTTAAGTTGTTCGGTTCAGTCGTCAGCAGGGATCTATTTCGGTGGGTTCTTTTCGGGTTCGGTTCGATTCCCATTAGAAAACTTATCTCAGGGTGTAAATACCCCCCCCCCCAACCAAACCAAAAATAAAAATCAATAAAAAAAAATAAATTCCAGTGCTCGCCCCTTTTTGGAGAAAAAGTGTAAAGAACAGCAATAAAAAAAAAAAAAAAAAAAAAAACAAAAAAAATAGGGATTTATTTCGGTGGGTTCTTTTCGGGTTCGGTTCGATTCCCATTAGAAAACTTATCTCAGGGTGTAAAAACCCCCCCCCCCAACCCAACCAAAAATAAAAATCAATAAATAATAATAAAGTCCAGTGCTCGCCCCTTTTTGGAGAAAATGTGTACAGTACAGCAATTAAAAAAAAAAATACAACAAATACAATAAAAAGCGACACAATTTTCATTTTTGTAACATTTTAAATTGCAAAATGCCGCCCGCTCCCTTTTCTACACACACACTCTCTGCCTCTAATCCAGACTATAAATTAGATAAATGTATTAGATAAATGAACTTGTATGCGCCATTAAAAAAATATTTTAATTAAGTTTTTAAACCTTTTTCAACTATTTCATTTTTTATATTTTTATTTAATTCTTGTGCTGTTTAATTTCAAGCGGCCGCCTAGTCTTGCCTTATGGTAGAAACGGTCTTGTGTGTTGACAATCGTGTTTTGCGTGCAGGGGCGTAGCTGTTGTGAGTGGCCACGGGGCTTACTTTTTTCGAAGTGATTATTCACAGAGCTGGTTGCCCCCCTCATTTTTCCACCCCAACCCTTGATTGTTAAAAAAATAATAGTAATAAGCTATGATCTATGCTTCTGTTTGCATGTGATAGCCCTAGCCCTAGCCCTAGCTATTTTATAAGTAAAATCTTTTAAGATAACGTTTTGAGAATATCAAAAAACTATTACGGTATTGGTGAAAACAGTATGAATGGTCACCTCAAAATATTTGTTCCCTTCTTTTTTTTAAATAGTGGAGTCCAAAAAATGGGCCAATAATTAATTGGTAAACTGAATGAAACAACGTTATAAATTGTTTCATTCCTGAAGTTTTTGAAACGCTTTTATTTTACATCGAAAGCGGAAGTTTCGCGATATGCAGTAAACATGGACGACGTTCAGGATGATCTTAACCCAGAACAAACGGAAAAGTTGTTACAGTTCCAGGTAATCCTTAAACCAAAATACTTTTTTAGGTATCTATTACAATTTGGTTGATTTCAATTAAATATTTAAGGTGTGAATCTCCCACCCTGCCCAATCATTTAAAATAATTATCAAAAGCGCATCTCAAAATTGACAAAATTATGAAATTGAAAATTGTACTTTATGAAAAATTAGAAGAAAGGAAAGTCAAAGGGAAAGCAACAACTTATGCTACAATAACAGCAATGCCAACATTACTATGAATTTAATTTTCCCAAATTAATTGGGTTAGTTATTAAAATAATTAAATGAACAAAAATGCAGGACTAAACTCTTTTGGTAAAGTAAAGTTTTGGTTAGCAGTATGGAGTATGGACATGGACCAGTATGGGTTTTGCCAAGAGTAGAACTTATGACTTGCTGTTGTTGTTCATCTGTTGAAATTGACTAGGACTAGAGGGGAGGGTTGGTTACGGTGGCGTGCTAGTCCAATCCATGCTCAGAATAATCTCTGGCACTGCAGGCAGGGGATAATTGCTGCAGTCGGTGATCTAATATTGCTCTTTCGGGCTAGCTGCTTGTCTCAGCTGTGGTTATCCTACTGACTGGCTTCATGAGATTTAACCCCCTTTTTGACAGCTGTTCTCCACAAGGCTCTGTCATGGGCTGTCTGCACCCATTCATTTAGTAGGGTTGATGCTGAAGGCCTTTAGTGCAGTTTTCAGTGAGTCTTTGTAATGCTTTTTTTGACCTCCTTGGGAGCGCTTGCCTATCATGAGTTCTCTGAAGAATATCTGTTTTAGTAGCCGGTGGGCTTCCATATGGGCTACATGTCCCATACAACAGAGTTGAGACTGCATCAGGATGGTGAAGATACTAGGTAGGTTTCTTCTTCAGACTTAGTAAGAGCTATCTCACCTTAATTGCAGTGATGTCACTTTGGGAAATCTCAACATTGGACATAGAATAATATACCATTGTTGGACCTGAATGATGTGTGTGATTGTGAAAACTTTCTTATCCTTCCCTGAAATTTGAAATTAGTTGAGTCTTAATCTTAATCTGACAAATTGATACACACTAAGTTAATATGAAAATGAAAATAAATTAAAAAGAAACACATTCTTGATGATACTTGAACACCAAGATGAACACTGGTAAAGAAAGAAAAAATAAGTGCAATGAATTTGATGCCTTTTGAGTTGTTTAAAATCAAAATACTCATATGCTATTCATTGCTATCATGTTGCCATTTCACCATAATTTTCAGGAGGGGGGTAGACCCCTCCCCCACTGCAAAATACACTACAATACAAAAATAATAAGCAAAATAATCTTCTGGGAAGGGGAGAATACTCACCCACCTCTGTAAAAATAATGGGCAGAACAAATTGTATCCGATAAAAACAAAGCTAAAAGTCAAGATCTTTAGAAGTACGGAGCTATAGCCAGTAGTTGACAACAGGCAACCTAAATATTATATAGTGCTTTGAGCTGCCTCACCAACTAATGCTTTTCTTTTCCATGCTTGGATTCCCAGCTATTATAGATCTTTTTCCACATCATCCATCCATCTAAGACATAGTACAATACAATGAGTCTCCTTGTCTTGGGCCTCGTCAAATCGAATTTCCCTTAAATCTTCTCCTTGAACCTTCATTTTGTTTTGAGTTGCTAAATGCTACATGTATCAGTCTCGACAGTTTGTTGAGCATGCCAAATTCCTGCAGATTCTTATATAGATATTTTCTATTGATAGGCCATTTAATAGTTCACATAGAATTGATTTACTGGGATATTATTGACATAACATTTCTCTAACAGGCATCTGAAGATGAAAATTTAAAATATGAAATCATGTCTTGCATATTACTTTTGTGTATTGATGAATTTAAGATAAGATAAGATTCTTTTATTAATGGAAATGTTTTTTGATTGCATTGTACATACACATTTTCAGCACATAAAAATAAATATTCTAATAAAGTCCACATTTTTCAACTAAAACAATTTAAACACAAGACATCTATATTAAATTATTTCACTAGTGAAAAAAAACATCCATTCTGTGAACTCCCTTAGTCATATAGGGACTTATTAGTTCTCATTTAGATTAGTGACATTTTTGGGAGCACGCTGGTAGATTCGTACAGATTGGGGAACAGAATAATTTTTATATCTTTCAGTCCTCGCCCTGAGAGAAAGAATTTGTCTCGAATGGAGCGATCCTGAGTATCTGGGATTAAGAGGGTGGGATGTATCATACAAAATTAGTTTTACAATAATATCTTTCTTCAAATAGTTCTTCAAGTGAAGGATGTTTAGTTTGTGTTATGTTCCTAGCTTTCATAATTAGTCTGTTTATTCAGAATACATTGTTTAATATCAGACGAGGAAGTCCAACACAAGCAGGTAATACCGAAATTAAGTAAGCTTCCAATTGTTGCACTCTAGATTAAGTTAATAACTTGTTTGTTCACACTAAAATTGTACAGTTTTTTAAGGAAGAAAAGTCTTTGGTTGAATTTTTTTAAACAGCATGTGGCAGTGCACATGCCATGTTTTATTATTAATGGTGACATCTAAGCACTTATATGCTCCTCTTTTCTCTACACACTGATTTTTTTTATGTTGAGATCAGTAATGTTGTGTTTCTCCCTCCAGAAATCAAAAACCATTTCCTTTGTTTTTTAAACATTCAGCTGGAGAAAATTCTCATTGCACCAATTGATAAAGCCTGTAATTAAGTTGCGGTATAAGCCTTCTCTCTCAGATATTAAACCAAGATGGTGGTAAAATCAGCAAATTATATGACTGAAACGGTGTCACTTGTCCTCTGAATATCATTAGTATATGTTATATACAGGACAGGGTAGAGAACACAACCTTGTAGCACCCCGCTGCTTATTTTTCTGGTTAGAGATATTGGTCATTTACCTTGCGCTGGGTCAAGAAACTTTTTTGCCATGCTTTCCAGAATAGACTGATAGAATATGCCAAAGTCCCATAGACCATTTTCTTTATGGAAGTGATCACACACTTTTAATAGTGGAAGACGTTGATACTTAAGGAACATTAAATTTTTACCACTATATACTTCCAAAATATTTGATAGCTTGTGCTTTAGAATGAATATAGAATGCATTTAAACAAGAATATTTTATTTTGATATTTAAAAACCCAGAATAGGACATTATCCTATTTTGCCATGTGCATATGTTGTGATGGTAAATCATTCACAAGCACTTTATTATGGCTATACTAAAGTACTATACTCAGAGTTTCATTTATACAATTTTGCCATGTTCAAACACTATTAAAACATTGGTCAGTGAAACCTTTACTTAATTAGTCATGTGCAAAAGTTGAATGTTCAAAATAATTTGTCCCTAACCAGTATTTATTTAGTGTGGGATGCATTGCCTTATGTAAAGTATATACCAGTATAATGGACGCCTTCGACTTGGTAAACATAAAAGCCATATCGTATATATAAATTTATTGATAATACATAGCTGGTTAGGTTACTATTCATTTATAAGTGCATAGTATCATTAAAATAGCTTTGTAATATCATTACTGTTAATATAGCATTAATCATGAAAAAAAATGTGTATAAAATTATCATATTAGAGTAGCCGGAGGTGATATGATAGAACTTAAAGCGACAGGTTACACTAAGGCCACATTACATAATCCTACATTCCTCCCGGTTTCCTGTGCCACACAAAACAAAACAAAAATCGTACAACTGATATTTTGTGTATGATGTGACCATGGCCTACCTCCAAGCCCTCACTTTTATTACAATAGTAGACTTGTTTCCAACCCTAATCTGCTATGTTTCATAACCCTTTTATAATCTGTTATACGTGTTTCTTTGGATGGCTTTTTCTTTAAATTGATGTTTGTTGTCATAGAGAGTTAAATTTGATAACTATTATACCAGAAATTGGATATGAATTCTGCCCTGAATATTTATACAAAAATAGGATCTGTACAATTTATCTACCTATTTGCAATAATTTTAAACTCATTGGATGGCAAATTACTGCTATTGGAGGATTTAGTATTTTGCATGAGAGTGTGAAAGGCCATTTTTTTATATTGGCTAAAATTGATTTTGTTTAGTAGACCCTTGCAGCCACTTTGCATAAACATAAAGTTTTATTATGTAAACTGACTTCTTTGATGTTTTGAGAATAATCTTTACATATTACAAGGTTATATTTTAAAATACATTTCTCAGGATTTGACTGGTATAGATCACATGCAGAGGTGTCGTCAAATCCTAGAAGGCCATGATTGGAATATTGAAGCAGCGGTTCAGGATACTTTCAATGAGCAGGAAGGTGCACCAACAGTTTTCCACAGGCCTCCCCCACGACAAGAAGAAAGAGCACCACAAGTCAATCTGCAGCCGGCAAATCAGAGGTATCTTTTTCTCATAATTTGGTCTCTTGACATACAACTTTTGCAGTGATGTTGACCAAGCTGTCTTGGTTTTTCCTCCTTTATAAAACAAAAGGAGATTCATAAATAACATAGGTTTTAAAGTGCTATCTTCTTAGACATTGTAATTTTAGTAATAATTATTTACTTATGGGGACATTCACTTTTTAAATCCATTTTATTTTCAAAAATATGAAAAAGTCTTTTTTTAATGATTGTTTTGTTCTTGAAAAGGATATTGTACTTAAATTATTTTTTTTGTCAATAGAGATTTGTTAACATTTGAATATGGTATTCCTCTGTGTAGAGTCATATTGTATCCTGGCAGAAGACCACAGGGTATTTTCCAATGGACATACTACCTCCTGACAATGCCCATACGCTTTGTATGGACAACAATATTTGACATACTTAGATCATTTGGTAAGTGGATAATTCAAATATTTCATCTTTCTAGATACCATTGCAAGACTCTAAGCAAAGTTTTGTCATCCTTTTTCTGTATTTTATTAAAATGAATGTTATTGAAGAATTGACCTTAGATGACCCTTATAAACTATATTTTTATTTGTTGCTGTAGACCATTTTTTTCATTAATTAACTGATTATGATGATTCCTGATTATGTTTTTGTGTCAAAGTAGGTTTCATTACACAACAATTGAATTTCAATGAGCAAATTTGCTCAAAAGTGTCATATTACTGTTAACAGCAGAACATTAACAAGAAGAAAGGCTATTTCAATTATTACTCCTCTCCCAGTTTAAATAATTAATCATGTCATAATACTAGGTACAATAGCTTTATGTAGCAAAATGTAAAGAAATTATTTTTTATTTATATCACAAAATTAAATTCTAGTTATAGGAATAAAAGAATCTGGGATTTCTTATATTTCTCTTGGATAATGCATTTAAACCTACTGTGTTTCTTATAAACCCAATCAAGTATTTATGTTTCTCCATCAGACAAATAAAAAAAATTGTTTGTTTTTTTCACATTAGGAGTTTATTTAGTAGTTAATTTTTATTTTATGTAGAGAATCATTAAAACTAAAATAATTACAGTATAATTCAGAAAATAATTGTTTTGAAGGGCTTTTCTCTTTTTTTTTATCATTTAGCTAGATTTGTTTGCTCTTTTAAATTAATATTAGAGTTCTTATCTCCTTCCCAGTTAAAGCTAAACGGTGGAACCTCTCATAACGAGCATAATTCGTTCCAGATTCTTACTCGTTAAGCGAAACACTTGTTAAACGAAACAATTTTTCCCATAGAAATCAATTTAAAATACAATAATGCGTTCCATTCTGAAAAAATAATCATTTTTCACAAATTTGTATAAAAATTTATTCAAATAAAATTACTAATGAATTGTTAAGGAGTGTAACAACTTGGAATAAAATTTAGAATTGAAACAAAAAACGTAACTAAAATTATGAATTTATGACAAATAATTAATTCTTTTTAACTAGAAAACTTTCTAAAGACATTTGTTTTTCCTGACGCTTCAAAATTTGACGAAAATGTGTCAATGCATTATTATTGAATACATTTTTATCACGAATAGCCACCTCCTTATTAGGGTGATGCTTCTCAATGTACGATCCAACAGTTTCCCATGCTTTCAACATTTCTCTTATTGCGCTAGAAGATTGTTGCTCTGCTACTTCCTCCTCCATTAATGAGCTGTCCTCCATAATTTCTTGCTATGAAACACGATGCAACGCCATAAGCTCTTCGTTGGTCAACTCTTGACTGTGCTCTTTCACAAGCTCTTAAATATCATTGTTGTCCACCTCGAGTCCCATGATATTTGCCAATGACCCAATCTCGTTAACTGTAGACGCCACAGGTACTGTTTCACAATCACATTCAACAACACTCTCTGGCTAAAGTTTTTTCCTAGCAGAAGTGAGGGTCCTCTTGGTAACTCCTTCCCAAGCCTTGTCAATCATCTTGAGGCAAGCAACGATGTGCAAATGATCTTTCTAAAACTCTCTAAGAGTGGGATTTGTCTCTTCCGTAACTTCAAAACAATGCTCAAAAGTGTTTTAGTGTAGAGTTTTTTAAAGCTAGAAATAACCTGCTGGTCCATAGGCTGGAGTAACGGAGTGGTGGTGGGAGGCAGAAATTGGATATTGATGAAATTAAATTCTTCATTAATATCGTCTTGTAGGCCTGGAGGATTGGCGGGCACATTGTCCATAACAAGCAAGACATGGAGAGGAAGATTCATCTCAAGCAAATATTTTGTTTTACGGAAGGACCAAACACTTCATTGCTGCTTCACAGTGCATCACAACGCTGTGGATGCCAGTCCTTCTCTTAAACTTCTCAAACCATCCATGACATCCCTTGAATTGTAGTTCTTTTTTGGCAGTAGATGATCCTGATGTTTTCTTAACGAGGTCAGCGAAAATAAGTTTCGCCTTCTCACAAATGTTTTCGTTAATAGTGTCGCCTTGTAATCACTTGTCGTTTATCCATATTAGAAGCACCCTCTCAACATCATCAAGAATACGTAAACGTTTCGTAGACATTCTTGACACTCCCTTTGAAGCATCCATCTCCTTAATTTTGTTTTTGTTCGTGAGAATAGTGCAGATAGTTGATGTTGACAGATTGTATGTCCCCGCTAGATGAGCCGCGCTCACACTTTGTTCTCGCTTTTTAATGATTTTACGTTTCATTTCAACAGTTATTTTTTCTCTCTTATGATTGTCCTCTTGTGGTTTTGTCTTCGAAGACATTTTAGCACAGGTTATTTCACTTTGCACATAAAAAATTATGAATTCTGTCTGAATACAAAATTTGTAAAAACTGGTGATCACACACGAAAACAATACGCTAACAGACCGAGTGCTAAACACAGACTAATGCATCGGCGCAGAACTTCTGGCTCACAAATGAATGTTGGGAACAGGGGACTTCCCCTTTCTGCATAACTCGTTATTCGAAATGTCGCTAGTTAAGTGAGCAACTTCTTCAAATTTTTTTTTTTGCTCGTTATGCGCATTATTAGTTATGAAAGGTGCTCGTTATGAGAGGTTCCACTGTATATCTATTTAAATTTGTGGAAATAATTTCTTTTCATTAAAAAAATTGAAATTAACATTACTTTTTTTCTTCAAAAACTTCAGTTAATTTTTTCCGACCAGACCCTAGGAGATGTAAGTATCTGTTTTTAACACCAGTTATTTCAATTTTATAATAATGTGTCATGACAGGAAATAAGGAAATTAAGAAATTAATTTTTAAGTTTTAATATATCTGGAAATTGTTTTCTTCACTTTGCTTTTTAAAAACATCCCAGTTGTAACAGATCCACTTCGAGATGTTGTCAACTTCATTTCATCATTTGAGTCCAGGTATGGACAGGTCCACCCGGTTTTCTATCAGGGAACATACAGCCAGGTAACCTTGTGCAATGAAACTTGACCAGTGGTGCATTTATTATGTTAGTTTTCTTTAGCATTAGTCTCTGTTATAATTTTGACCCAGTAGAATTAACAATTCATATGTTTGATTTTTTGTTGGTAAGTAGATCAAAGTACTGAAGTTTGTGGGTCAAAAAAGTTGGGTAAAGCTTTCTTTCAATCAAAATACAGAATGATGGTTTATAAATCAGCACCAGAGAGACTGTCTTATGACATTGAATGTCTGGTTAAACTGTTTTAACATTATGTTAAATTTTTCTTCATGTAAAATTTTTAATGTAAAGCAGAACGTTCAAATTGTTTATATTGTCATGTCTCCTCTCAATGTGATGACAAGACATTTCCATTTTGTTTGGATCACTAAAGGAACATTTGTCTCTTTTTTTTTATCTTGAAGAACATTTTGGCAAAAGTCTTCTTTTTTTTTTTTGTGTTTTTTTGTTTTGTTTGGCAGAAAAAACAGGTGTAAAACTATTACTATATAGTATTAAATACAGATTGTACAATAGTAATTATAGCAATACAACCAATACAAATTTGATAAAAAAAAATGTTTATGGTCCCCAGCAGAAGTTATGGAAAAAATATGAGTGGCAGAAGAGGAAATAATATGTACAATATAAAAGATAACTTTAAAAAAAAAAATGTCCATGTCAATGGGTTTCATAACTATGTTAATGGAAGTTTGTATAGGATCTTCAGTGTGGTGTGAGTGCCACAGATGTTCTAATGCATGGAATCCCTGTAGGCTCTATGTGAGGATAAAATAACACTGAAACTGAAGTGACTCTTCATCGTAATGTTTCAGGCTTTGAATGATGCCAAGAAAGAGTTACGGTTCCTGCTGGTGTACTTGCACAGTGAAGATCATCAGAACACTGATCAATTCTGCAGGTAGATATCATCAAGTCACTTCATCAAAATATCATCAACTCACTTCATCAAAATATCATCAAGTCACTTCATCTAAATATCATCAAGTCACTTCATCACAATATTATCAATTCACATCATCACAATATTATCAATTCACTTCATCAACATATCATCAAAACACTTCAGTATCATACTTTCAATATATAATCTGTATTGTAATTGCTGGCAGCTGAGTGTTACATTCTCTTAGAAGCCGCATGACAGAAACTGTATATGTGAAAAGAAAGGTTTATATCATATCTTTAGTTGAGCCATGTTTTTATGTTTCTTATGCCTGTGTTGTTGGTTTTTTTCTATCCTTTCTAAAGGGAGGTTCTATGCAGTGAAAACTTTGTAAATTTTGTCAATGTGCACATGTTGTTTTGGGCTTGCAACACAAGTAGTCCGGAGGGCTACAGAGGTGAGATAACCCATAGTTAAGAGGGCTAAAAAAAAGAGGTGAGAGGACCTGTAGTTTAGAGGGCTAAAGAGTTGAGAAGGCTAAAGAGGTTAGATGACATGTAGTTTAGAGGGATAAAGGGATTAGTTTACCTGTATCCAAAAATCAGATTACATATGTCACGATGTTTACTTAGAATTGCAACATTTACTTGTAGACCAGAGGCTCTAGAGGTTACTTAACCAGTACTTTAAGGCCAGAGAGGATCCAACATTCAAGCATATGATCTATGTAATTGAATTGTTTAAATTTGTTGAACATAATCAGTGGGGAGAGGAATAAAGGATGTGCTCATTCGATGGTATGATTGGACACTTAAATGGTGAAACAATCACAATGAGACTACTGGTGTCACTTCTTGATTGTATAGTTCATATACTTGAATGTTGGGACCTCTCTGGGCAGCACCTAGATATTTCATCTGCTTGTGTTCATACCAAGAGTAATTTAAAGACAAGGAATAGTCTAAGGAGCACCCTTTCTTTTTTCATGGCAAAGTCATCTATTTAAGTAGAAGCATAAAACATGATCATTTATTTGCATGCACACTGTCAAGAGCATTATGAAGCATATGTGTTAGGACCCATGAGATAGATTTCAAATTGTAAAACATGTTTCCTTGTCTCTTCTGCAGTGTCTCAAGCACTAAGGGAACATGCCTACCCTTTTCTAGCTGTGATTGTGTTGAGAGACAATAAAATGAGTGTAGTAGCCAGGATAGAAGGCAGTGTAACAGGTCAGTCACTGGGATTTTATTAGACAATGAAAAGAGTAGAGTAGCCAGGCTGGGGGACAGTGTTACAGGTGAGAGCAATGAGATGTTACCACTACAGTAGACTATAAACAGTTATTTGTATTGGTGTTGGAAGACAATGAGATTAATATTGGTGCCCTTGATTAACTTTTTCTTTACTTCATTGTCTATTGAACAAGCATCTTTGAGATAACATTGTTTTGTTATTTGAATGTGTTGCATCAAGACACGCAGTGTGATCTTTCTCTACTCTGTCCAGGTTCTGTGGAATTAGTGGAGAGGCTTGAGCAGGTGATGGCAGAGAATGAAACTTCGTTAACAACTGCAAGGGCAGAGAGGTACTCCAGGGCGATTATAATGTATTTCTCTTTTGAAAACCCAACAAACATTTTTATGTGTTTGATGTGTAACAAATAATCGTATGACTTGTGTCGTAGCATTTAATAATTGTGATAATTTTTTTTTAATGTGTGCTCAAACTCTTGCATTCCAACTTGTCAGGGCTGGCAAAATTCCCAAAAGCTCTTTTTATTCACTTGATGCCAGAAGATAAGAATTTTAAGAACGATGAAAAAAAAAAAAAAAAGCAATATATTTAGCACTGGTCCCTATCATGATTTGGTCCTACTCACTGACATGTTTGAGATGAATACTCTAAAATAACAAAATGTGGTTTTTAAAAGTAATATTGTACAGATCTTTTACCCTATTACTTATAAGTATGTTGTGCCATCTTGGATATTCAGGTCCTTTTGTATTATGAGCTTTGTTGTGTTTGTGCAGGGCGGAGCGCAGCTTCAACCAGTCTCTGAGGCAACAGCAGGACGAGGCATACCTTGAGTCACTGCGTGCAGACCAGGAGAAGGTAAGAAAATGAAATAGCCGACAGGGTTAACAACTAGTGCTTGGCCCTCTTTGAATAACACAGCCTGGTACATGTTGAGGGTTTATAGATTTATTCAGATGGAGTGGAATTTTTTAATTTTTACTGACATCTGTTCATCAAGTTTCTTCAAATAAAAAAAATAAAAAATAGCAACAGTAAGGCTTGGGAGCCCAGGTTATTTTATTATTTTTATTTTTTTTGTTATCAGATCTGTTTTAAATGGTAAGAAAAAAGCCTTAAATATTAATTTGAATTTATTGTGTTAAGAGTAATGAACTTTTTAAAATGATTATTCACGTGTAAGAAATGGGAGCAACAGGAAGGTATATGTGAAATCCTGTGAATGGCATAGAAAATTCATGTCCATTGTGTGTCTTAAATTTAATGCAAACAACCACTTACCGATACCTGTATTTTTATTTCATTTCTTGGTTGGTCTTAAATTAGTCCCAGCATGATTTTTAATCACTTCTTATTGAGTTTATAAATACAGATATACCTCAGAGAGAACTTGGTTTCTCAACCAATGTTAGATGTTCTAGTATTCAAGCCATAACACATGGTTTATAGTGATTGCTATTATTTCATATTCCAAAAAAATATAGTTTTTTTTTCAAAAAAGACAACAAAAAAAAACATTGCTGTCTTGATATTGATTTGACTTATCCCTGCATGTTTTAACTAACACAATTCACATTAACTTTTGTCATCATCATAGCTGTTGAATTTAACTTATCATTAGAAGAAGAATTGTTTTATGTACAATTTTTGGCTTTTTTTAAATATCCATTTTCAGGAAAAGAAGAAAAGAGAGGAGAGAGAAAAACAGGAGGAGGAGGAAAGGCAAAAACGTTTAGCAGAGGAAGTAAAAGAGCAGCAGTTCTTGGTAAGATTGTGTTTGTAGTTGTTGGCTCTTCTCTATGCACTCAACGGGTTTGTCTTGAGTCACTCTTCTCTCTGCACTCAACAGCTGTGTCTTGAGTAACTCTTCTCTCTGCACTCAACAGCTGTGTCTTGAGTCACTCTTCTCTCTGCACTCAACAGCTGTGTCTTGAGTAACTCTTCTCTCTGCACTCAACAGCTGTGTCTTGAGTCACTCTTCTCTCTGCACTCAACAGCTGTGTCTCTGGCCACAGCATCAAACTGACATTGTACATATTGTCCCACTTTCCTACAACTGTTGCCATTATTCCCTTCTGCTTCTACTGTGCCTCACTGTGATCAATCACCCTTAGTTGAAAAAAACTTTTTCTTCTGCTCATACTGTGCCTCACTGTGATCAATCACCCTTAGTTGAAAAAACTTTCTCTTCTGCTCCTGTTGTGCCTTACTGCGACCAACTACCACACTGCCCACATTGACAAACAATGATCAGCCGTAAAGTTAACCAATGCAAACTGCACTGAATATTTGTTGACGTTAATTGAACCTTGAAGTGCACTGTATTTAACTAGTAAAACTTAAGAAATATTGTTTCTAGAAAATATTTCTAATCAACTTGTATTAACTCTTTCTCTCCGCCATTATTTTCCGCGTTCTGACGGAATTATCTATTTTTCATTTTTGCAACGCACTACTATGTTGTCTCTAAACGTTCATAACTTTTTGTTTTTCATCAGAAAGTGCTAATTTTGGTATGGAATTAAAGGAGAATGTATGCCCTTTACAAGCAAACCAGACTTGGGTTCACATTTTAATATATAAATGTGATTATCATTTCAGAAAAATTAAAATAAAAAACTTACCAACTGTTCACAAAACGCTCATTCCAAGTCACACGAGGAGAAATATATAATCCAAAGTGTAACAAAAGTGATTTTTTTCTGAACTATATCTATGTGTGCATCACAAATAATAAAGATCAACTTAAAAAACGAAAAAAAATTAAACCTCAGAGCACATTATCCATTGTCAACGTCACACACAAAATTTGTGAAGAAAATTTAACTATTTCCACTGGAAACAATTGTTGCTATTATAAAATATTTGCACTGTACTCTTGTATGTACTAACATTTATAATGGTAAATGGAACATTTACCATACATTTGTCATATCTTTTCATCTGTATTTAGCCATGGTAAGCCTAAAAACAATCCATATGGATGTGCACTTTGGCTGGGGGAGGGGGCTGGTTGTTCATCAGCTGATGAATTACCAATGTCATTATTTCGTCACTAGTACTACAAATACTAGTACTAAGATTATAATCATGCTATTCAAAGGAATCAGCTTCTGCATTTGAAATCATAATATCACTGTTTGAATCATCATCAGAGTAATATTTTCAACCTTTTTAAGATCGATCACCAGATGGGTCAGGTCAAGATTTCATGTTTGTAAACAAAAATGAAATGGACAATCAAAACAACCGCTTCAAACACTTCGTTCTCTGCAAAACCTCTTTCAAACACCGAAAAACCGGATGTTTATACAAAGGGAAATCATTCTTGAATTGATTTAAAATAACTAAAAACCAATAGCTAAGAAAAGAGCCGAAATAAACGGGTTTTTATGCATCGACAATGCCATCGTCGATACACCAAAATATTCATTTCAAATCGACGATGGGAGCATTGTTCCGGAGAGAAAGAGTTAATAGTTTTCTGATAAGTCACCATTTTGACTCTATAATTCAAATTCTACTTTTAAACTTATTTAAATAAGATGAGGTTGGTTGACAAAAAAAACTTTTCTGTGGTCCTTGTAGGAAAGAGAACAGAAGAAGAGTGAGTTAGAGAGAGTGCTTCCCCTTGAACCAGAGGCCAGTGATCCAGATGCCATCAGAATCATGTTGAAAATCCCCAACGGTAACAGGATAGAGAGACGCTTCCATAGATCCCAGTCTCTCAAGGTAACTAGTTACAGTGTTAATCAGGTCTCTTGTTGCAACATTCCCTGGTGGTTACCCAAAGAAAAATTAATGCTATATCATGTGACCTAATTAACTTAAGTGAAGTCTTATTTCATATCACCAAAAGAGATCAGTTCATTTTTTTTTCTGAAAATATATTTTAAAATGTTTGTTTTATCAAGTCCTAACCTTGATTCCACTTGGTAACAAAGTAATATTGTTAAAATAATCAGATAGGTTTAGACAGCTGCTTAAAGTTGTATGTTCTTTTTTAATTAACATTTTATTTTTATCATTGCATATCAAAATTATTAATTTTTTTTAAACAAAATTAATTTCCACAGTGGCTGTACTACTACGTATTTTGCCACAAGGACTGTCCTGATGACTTCCAGATAGTGACCAACTACCCACGGAGGACACTTCCGTGTGAACCCAATGACCCAAACAAAGACCCACCGTCATTCGCAGATGTAGGTCTAGGAAAATCTGAACTTTTGTTTGTGTTTGATAATGAGGCATGATTGAAGCATTCCTGGGTGGGTGTGAAGGTGTGTATGTTGAATGGGGGGGTTCCTTTGATGTGCCACCGAGTTATGTTCATAGTTGGTAGGGGTTTAAATGGTGGATTTCATCCTGTGAGATCTAAGGGTCTGCTTTAAGCCTGTACCTTTTTTATTAATTATGGCATACTGGCAATAGATAATTTGTACAATTATTTCATTGAGGAGTTAGGATATCGGCTTGCAAGTGTTATTCCTCTCAAAATGAGTTCAGATTTTGTTCATTTTGTGATTTATATTCTAGATAAATAAATGATTCCATGAATGCTCATAGTACTGCCATACATTGCTATAAGTCTTTTGTTAAGTTTATGATCCTAGCAGTGTTTCTGTAATGTGACATGATCACATTTATTTTAATATAAAAATAAATGTTTATTTTTTTTTTTTTTAATTATAATAATAAGGTGGTATTTCAGTGAATAACTGAGACAATGACTATAAAATTATGCAGAAATTTATTTTGGTGTGTGTTTAATATATGGATTGTAACACCCTGTCAGGTGTGGCATTAGCTTGCAATCACCTGTGTCAGTGTTCATGTGCCATGTATGGATGCTTTTAAGAGGTGATTGATTTTAATGGCTAGTGAAAATATGGATACATACGGTGTACAAATGGAATATTTTGAATCCGCACTCCATTCTTGAGTTAGTTGAGGCTCTATAATTACTTTCTCTTGATATTTTATAGGAATACTACTCTGTGTGGCCATGATGCATCTATAAAACTTTGTTTTAAAATGTCAACATCCTAATTTATTGCTTTTCAAATAGTTTTTAAATTGAAAGGCATCGTGCATCTAATGTGAAAACACGTTTTTTTTGACTGACTGAAGTTACCATTTTAAAAAAAATTCACTAGATTACTCTTTAGTGTTGCTATAATTATGTTAAGACTCTAGTCTGGGTACATATGCGTAAGCTGTGTGTCAATGGTAACTCTTAAGTACAAGTGTTTTCTGGCCATGAGGTTCTTACCATGTATATACAACAAAAGAATGAATATGTTTACAAAAAATCCAGGGGAGTTAAACTTGGTGAACCTGACAAGGGGAGACAACTGAAGGTATATCTTTGACAACAAATACCGATTTTGTTGTTTAATTTTAAAATAATTTTTTTTAAAAATTAAAACCATTTTTTGTCATTGTTTATACATTGTTCAATATTAAACCTATGACTGATGTAATTCAGCTGCCAAATTTCCCATATAAATTCAAGAACAGATACTACTAGCAGTTTTTTCCTCACACTCATTGAATGATGTGGAATAAAAAGATTAAAATCAGTTTTTTTACCTGAAATTTTTATAAGCCAAGAAGTTGTTAATCAATGAATGACATGTATCTGATGCTGGCTGCAAGCGGTGGTCCGCTCTAACTCGATCCCTACTTTTAGGGATACAATGTCAAAGAACACCCACAACGCACATCCGAATCTCTCAACAATCAAAACAGGGAAAGCTATACTCATATTATTTATTGTCTTGGCTGACTCAGTGTCTTAAACAAAATGAACCCATCAAGAGAGTTGAATATGTAAGAAATATTTATTATTTTTCTTTATAAATGAGTCATATGTATCCATCTCGGTAAAATATATGCATAATGTCATAATAAAATTGTAGTTTGTGAATGTTAGGCCTTAAGGAGGACAAAAAAAGGGGAGTGTGGGAATAGTTCTTTTGGGCGAGTTTGGCAGCTCTTTATTTTTTTGTCATAGACCTTTTGTATTTATTTGATGTGGGTTGTTTTAGGACCTGCACTAATGTCAACATCATTGTCTTGTGTACATGAGAGCTGATCTTTTTTTGATGGTCTTGGCACAGTCCAGGATTTGTGGATTTGTTGATAGACTAGGCACGGTCTATCAGAGTTGGTTTGCTGATAGACTGGGGCACAGTTAAGGAGAATTTATTTGTTAGTAGATAAGGCAGTCTATTAAGAGTGGATTTGTTGACAGAATATGCGCAGTCTATCACATTTGATGTGGCGATAGTCAAGGCATAGTCTATCAGATTTGATTTGGTGATAGTTTAGCACGGTCCAGATGAGTTTATTTGAAGTTGAAGTCCCTGTCATCTGTTATCATCTGAAAAAAAAAACATCCACAAAATGCATGTCTTGTAAATAAAGCTACTCAAATTAAACAAAAGTGTGTTTTAATTATTGAGTATTAATGGCAATCTTATTTAAAATATTTTTTTTTTTTAAATTCTATGCTATAAGAAAGAATTCTCTGATATCATGTAGTAACAGTTTTGTTTTTTCTTTGTATGAAAATGTTATAACACTAATGAGCAAATCTATATTTAGTAGTCCAATAATTATTTTTTTTTTTTAAATCTATATTATATTAAAGGGGAGATGATACTGATATAACAAGAAATCGTTTTTTTTAAAAATACTTTTGGACTGTGGTCCAAGAAATTCAAAGTTGGTAATAACGCCCCCCCCCCCCCCCCCCCCCCCC